TATTTTGGTACCACGTGGGACGGGTTTGGGGAACGGGGATAATGGCAGAAAGCCAGAACAATATCTGTTTCATGGCTTACGAGATGTTTCTGAGACAATCGCACTCACTTCCGCAATGATGGAACTAGCAAACTGTGGTAGTATGAATGCTATAACTGGGCACTACTTTGTGTTGTATTGTGTATAATGTTTGCAAGCTCTAGGGCTCACATTTCAGTTAAAAAAATCATACACGATAACCACCACAATGTACATAGTCGACGGGGAGAAAATGTTTATAGACATGGGGATATTTCATAATCCAAGGTTAGGACAAAGTTCACTTATTATCAGCTGTTTGTTGATGAATACACGGGAAAAATACGGTACAGGTGAATTGCGGTAAGCGTTAATTCGAGATGAGATTTGACGGAATCGGGAGCGTGTTGAATGATGAGAACGACAACGTGTCAGTTCTGGGTGCAATGGGTGAGAATCCCCTCAGCAAATTTCACACAAGAAGATACGTGATACTCTGAAAGCTTTAAAGTGAACTCATTCACAAGAAAAGAAGAGAAACGGCTAATAATAGTTAGACCGCGGCAAGGGACTTTGAAGTCCTATTTAAGTAGGCCAAGAAAAATAACTGGGGAACAGTAGAGTAAGATGGGAAAAACACACCGATAAACAAAGGTAAAAATAACTGACTGGGATGATCGAAACTGCCTGAGCTTTCGTATTGGAAATTATAGACACCGCAGTTTACCATGCAGTTGTGGATGTGGGTTAACCAATGAAGATTGCTATCTATGGTTACATCAAGATATTTGACAGAGTTCACCCTGGATAAAAAATTGTTATTATTCACTGCGGGATCTGTCGGATATGGAGAGCGAGCAAAACTATATAAACACTCAACACATTTACTGGGATTCAGGGTTAGCCCCGATGAGGAGGAGAATGACTGAATTTGATCAAGATTATCGGTTACAAGAACTTATATCAGAGTAAGAAGAAATGGGTTGGCACAACAAGACATCATCTGCATATTTCAAAATTCGTGCGGTAGAAACACAGGGAATATCACAAATATAAGTAGAAAATAAGTCTGGGGATAGCACAGCTCCTTGAAGAACCTCGGGTTTGTTGACTAAGGGCTTAGATGAGGACTTCCCCAGATCTAGTGGTTTGTACTGTAGCAGTACAATAGTTGGATAGCCAAGCTAACAACTGCTTGGGGCATTGAAACGATTCCAGTTTTTTAACAACTTAGATCTAGGAATGGAATCAAATGCAGAAGAGTAGTCCAGAAAAATACTCCAAACAGACTTAACAGAGCTGTTCAAAGACTTAGTGATAAAATGAAAGAGGGTGACTGCGTCCAAAGTGAATCTATTAGGCTTGTGAGCAAACAGGAACGGATCATTGGGAATGTTTATAGACTGCTGAAGGCGTTTGAGAGTGGCTTTTCAGTCAATTTAAGAACTGAAGATGTTATTGCTATGGGGCGTAAAAGTTTGGGGAGGATAGAAGATTAGGATGCTTTGGAGATTGGTATGATTGTGACCGGCCTCCAACAGTCGGGGATAGTAGAAGTGTGATGGGATTCATTTACAATGGAGATGATTGCCCCAGCTAGGGAAGCAGTACCAAATTCGAAGAGGGCTGGATGTAATTCATCCGGACTTGCAGCAGATGACGAACCGCAACTATTTAAAAGTTTTAACATATCACAATATGAGAATGGTTCCACGTTACACATATTTTGTAACAAGTGAACAGAAGAATGTCCGATGACTGGCGCAGGAATGCGCATTGAGATCATGAGCGTCCACATCTACTTTCGACCGTACTTTCTTCCTATACCTTGCCACAGGTGTTTGCTTTCTTTAGTCCCGAGAATTCGATCAGAGAATAATGCGTTCAGTCTATTTACTCCAGCTTTGATAAGCCTGGACAAATACCTGACAACTGAAGTATTGTGAGACTTGTAAGCACGTTCCTTTTGTCGTCGCAGCGACTTTATTAGGGGAGAGTTTATCCTTCCGTTGGACACATATAAGTTTTAAACAGGGCAGCAATAATTACAAATGGCATTGATTTTTTGGGTGAATAGGGGGACACATGTGAACTGATGCTACTGTGGGGTAAACGTGGCTATAATTTGGAAGAAACTGCCCGGCGTTTCAATGCACAGCTGACATCCACAAGATACCCCCAAAAGGTTAATAGAAAAATTCCGATTAGCGGATACTGTGTGCAAGTTAAAATAATCTGAAAGAACAGGTTCACAGAACCAGATGGTAAGGTGAATCAATTGCAAAAACACGAGTGGAATGAAGTATTGCGCACGTGTGCAAACTGTTTTGATATGATGGTAATTCGCTCGAAAGATCTCGATCGGTTCGTCACAGAATCGTGTGCGGAACGCTTTCGATCAGTTCATTGATTGAGTGATCTTCGGGGGGCCATTCTCAGTTCCCTATTGCACGAAACGTTATTAAACACTGTTTTTTCGCAATATCCCAATAACGAACTCCACGCCACCCCCACCCCCGGTTTAATCAAAATTGGCGTGATGCTGATGCAACGGATTACCGTATAGAGAAACGATTCGGATTTTCATTATGATTTATATACTGATTTACGTTAGAAAATGCACCCACGGGTGTACGAAACACTAGTGACCCCACTCCAACTGTTGTCATTTTAGTTCACGGTGTAGCTTGCCATCGAAGTTGTTTGAGTCAGTTGTGCTAAGTAGTTTAGTTATACCGTGCTGAACAATTTTCACGTGACACAAGGTAAATTAAAGACGATAAATCAGTACCATGGATAACGGATGGACATGTTGGAGCTCCAGTTGCATTGGTTTAGAGTCATACCAATTGGTCTTCTCAATGAAACGATGCGATATTCAGTGACGAGAAAAAGTTTGATCTCAACGGTCGCGATGGACTCATCTAATACTCGTATGAAGTGTGTAAGTGTAAATTAACCTTCAGCCATCAAGCTTTAGGTTAGGTCTGTTATGTTATGTATTGCCATGTTACAGATGGATCGAAGGAAGTGAGAAGGCTGAATGTACTATCAAACCTCGGACGGGTTTCTCCCTCAGTTATTCCATAAAATCGATCGGGATCATTTTGCAACACGCCAGCGCCTCTCTACTACAGCCGATCAGACTAGATAAAGCTTGCTGCACCGGAACATCAAAACCATGGACTGATCAATCCAGATTTGACCCTAACAGAAAGTATCTCAAGTCTAGTGACTAGGTGATTTAACACACATGAAGATATTTTGCACCGTCCACAAAATAAGTACTGTTATCCTTCATCAGTGGAATCATTTGGAAGTTCAAATAATCCAGAACCTGACTAGAAGTATCCTTGAGGGCTGTATTTCAATAATATATTAAATGTTGGGGAGTTTTGTAACCATTTGGATATTTCAAATTTTTCATGAGCTGCGTTTCCTAGCATTTCCCGTCCCCGGGAGTATATTTTCCAGGATAAACAAGTTTAGCAAAGTCCCCCGTGAACGGATGCATCGGTGAACCGAAGGTCGACCGGGTCTCGGTGTGGATCACCTAGAACCGTCGACAGACAGACAGAAGGTTCTCTGTGATGATTGTAAACTGACTATAAGCGGAAAGTTCAGTTCTCACAGGACGAATTATGGCTCTTGTCAATCGAGCGGCTACATTCATGTGTTGTTGACTAGCTTCCTTGGCTCCCAACACTTCGATATATACTTTTTAAGCTCATGCTTTTCTCGTCCCATACGTTCGTGTTGTGGTTAAAATTCAATGATACATACAATGCCTTGTGTAAAATGTCACATGATACGAGCTTCTTCCAATTCTGCATACAGCTTCCCCTCTGTCGGAATGTAATGTGTGCTAGTGCATCATCGAGTCTCTCTTTGAAAGACGACGTGGAATGGGAGAGAGTTCCATATCGAACACACTCTGACTGCGAATGGCGGACGCCGGTATTCCAATGGGCATTTTGAAACCACTAGTTTAAACGGATGTCCTCGAAGATGGACGCTGGGTGATAATTTTAGTAGCGGCAGTCACGGATGGCTTGGGTTTTGCATTATTTGGTATACCATAATCATGTCTCCTCTGATGCGCCGGTAGTGATTCGAATATGACCCCAGTGATTTCAGTCTTCATGAGTATGAAAAACGATTCAACCCCTAACCATTTTGGTGGCCATCCTTTGTGGACGCTCCAGCATTTTGCCATCACTTTGTAGCCATAGATTCCATGCCTGGATAGCGTACTCTGTTAGTGGACGAATGTACGCTGATAGCAGACGGGGAAAATGCACTGATACAAACCGGCCAAAGACCCGCCTAAGCAAACCGACATTCTTTACAGCTGCGTTCGACACCCTTTCGCAGTTGAGTGAACAGCTTAAGTTTTCTTGAACGATGATTGTTGTGGCCTGCAGTCGAGTGATGTGCCCATCACGTGGTTGACCGATGCGGCCCGCCACCACACACGCACGCACCTCATGCGGAATTACTCTTTTACAAGGTCGATCTGCCTCGGCGAATCAGAGGTCAGTATTGATCTCTCCTCATTGATTGGTCCGTTGACTACCCAACGTGATGAAATACTTCTTTTGGTAACACTTGCACCAGTTCTGTGCCTGCCTGTCTGCGTTTTGACGCACTGCTTGCTCACCGGCTTACGGACCGGCTACGTTTGCGTTTACATACTGGAAATAGAATAACTACTTAATTCATTATTTGCCCACTTATTGACTCATGCGGGATACAACAATGATGTCCAGGTCCTTCTCACTTGAGTCGTAGGCCAGTTGTTCATTTCCGAGGAAATACGAAAGTTATTTGGTTTCTCCACATGGAAACGCGTTCACCATCTGATAAAATTTGATTTATTAGGGTGTTCTTTTACAGTGAAATTGAAAAACGGCATGTGAATGATAGCACTTTCAGTGTGATGTCAACGTGACTAGAGATTTCAAACTCTCCCGCTGTTGATCTCAATCTAGTGTGATTCAGGTAAAATCTGCTCATTGAAAACATATAACTTTGCCACAAGATTCATTTCAGCAAATTGGAGAATGGAATGTGTATGGGATATACTAAAGTGATCATTAAATACATCCGTTCAGACTAGATTCAAAAGCATTTCGCACCCCTTACCTGTGTTATGTGCTATATTCTCCGTCTCACTCAAGTCCAATTAATTTCCTTTGTGAATCTATTGAGTACTTCGGCCGTATAACATGTTCCCCGAATCTGGACGTTCTGTTTATAACGGTGGAGGAGAAAGTTGAGGAAGAAACGCAAGGGACGCGGGTGGTGTTTAAACGTTTCTTGGTATTACTTTTTATTTAGTCTACCAATATTAAAGTTTTTCTGGTTTGTATAGCTAGTTTGATCGAACAACAATGTCCCAGTGCAGCGGCCACTCTCAAGTTCAACTGGGTCTATGTTCCCCGTGATTCCTTTTTATTATTTGGATTCCGATTATCTCACGTAAAAATGTATAACAAGAACTTACATAGTCACAAAACGGCGAGAACAACCAAGCGGAGCGTTAAATCATTGAAGTATAAACGTGCGTACTGAAATGAGTGTATCCCGGTTTTTCTACCAACGGACTCGAGGATTTCTGTGATGTTTTTAACAGCGGTCTGATTTTGCATGTACGAGTGCACATGCACAAAAACTCACGGTAACACGAAGTTGCAAAGACGACAAATTGTAACTCATCGTTTTGTTGAAACATTAGAGAAACAATGACCACAAATCTGGTCTCCTCGATAACGGCAAATAATGGCTGGTTTGTTTCGACATTCTGTAGTTTAACGTGTACTTCTTTTGGTACCAAGAACTTGAGAAGACAATGACAATGAATGGTCGAATGTGGATGCGTAATAATCAGCAGAAATTAATTTCTGGGGTTTCGAAAACTGAGGACGTTTCTTCGTTCTTTGAAAGCTGCTCCGCCCAATTTATTCACCCACTTGACCCTTTTGTCCTTAACGTATGCACCTTTTTCTTAGCATCAATGGTGACTTCTTCCTACCGATCGCATGTAAACTGACTCTGTCGTTTTTCGTTGCAGTGATATACACAATTTAGAGATTCTTGTGCAAGTAATTCACTGGCAATTTCCCATTGTTTTAGAGCATGAAGCTTGGATTATCCCACTCGATTGTTCAGAGGCACCAGGCACTCTTGATAGACTTCGGTGTGGGTTTCACTCCTAGGGAGATCGTTACTTTCTCACGAGGTTAATGCATACAAATGCGATGTAAATGTTTGTGATGATCGACAAAAGGCACTGGAGAGCAGTTTCGTCTTGTTTTTGCGACTCCTTAGCAGTGCCAACTTTTTATGTCCCTGATAGGACTCAAGGGTGTGTTTGAAGTCCCAACCCGAAGGTTCGCAGTTGGAGTCCTGACAGGACCATAAAAAGTACGCACTGTTGACGAGTAGCAAAAACAGAACGAAACAGCTGTCAAGTGCTCTTTGTCGGTTATCACAAACATTTCCATCACATTTAAATTTCCTCTGTATTTGTGACATTAATACATATCACAATATACTCATGTGTTTACCCCCTTTGGGAGGTAGTTCAACGGAATTTGCCTGCACCCTATGTTGTCTGCTACTTACTGAGTAGTTTCCCTATCCGGTCGCTGGGGAGAATGTTCGGCGTTGTATTCTCGCAGCCCTAAAGGTAGAGAGACTGTCAGCTGTCGGTTGTATCATGAATTTCACAATGAGCAAAAGTAACCGCAGTTAAACATTTTTATTCCGGAACTTGATTACGTTGTTTCGTGTGCATTGAAAATTGATTATTTTCACTCAAATCTGTTGTAAAATTCACAGAACATTCTAATCGGAAACTTTCGATCAAGCTTGCATATGTACGAACAGCGATTGTCATCAGTACTGACGATCCGGATATCTCATGGTAAATAAGTATGTAAGCAATATCGTACACAACTCCACTTTCAAGACTTGGTACACTTGTGTTAAATATTGCTATAAACAAATCTGTTCGTGTGAACCCTTCTCACGAAGTACAATATCTGGGATAAGCTAATTCAGAATGTGACTTGGACTTGCCTGCACAGATTTTTTTCTACAGTTAATTAGAAGCTTTCCCACTTTTCCCCTTTTCCCACCGGAATCCTCTGTTCATGGTTACCGTCAAACACCAGATGAGGAAATATTGGTTACAGGCATACTAAACAACTGGTACAATTTTATTCAATATATTTCTAAAGCTTCTCTATAATCTCCCCGCTACAGTTGACTCAACCGATCAACGAGTAATATGCTTTTACACCAGAAATCGTAAAATCTATGCTTTTATCCTACCTGACAGTGCGTTTATCGGGCGAAAAACGCTGACGGCTCGGCGAATGGCCTGTAGGATGCGTTGAAAAAACCCACACAGTGTCCATAAACTGGAATCAGCGTTGATTTGCTTGTGCGTGGGTGAACGAGCCTTAGGAGATCGGTAGGCTGTATTTGCCTCTCCGGTGAATCGGGGCACGTGATGTCCTGTGATTGGTTCACCTCCAAGCACGAAAAATAACCCAAATAAAGCAGCGAGTTGTTTGGTCAGTTTCATATTTTCCTCTATCGACAGTTTGACTATCCTATCAGATGTTACCAGTGCTTTGTGTACATCACACGTTTTATGAAATATTTTTATTTTAACTACAACAAACTTGCATAATATCACTGATCCAAGGATTAGTGTGACAGAATTACTGCGCCGAATGAAACTAGATTCAAATCGATCTATACCGAATGTCATTTTTCTTGTACACGAGAGCACTGGAGACCAGTTGCCCACAGGAATTCCTAGCAAATCTTGCCCACTTCTTAGTTACATTGGAAATGGACTTTATCATCAACAGTTGAAGCGAGTGAATTTGGTCTTGGAGATGGGAATGTATCTTTAACTTCCTTAGTTTCTGTCTAAATAGGATAGAAATGGGTAATTGTATATTCCTTGAGGTGAATCTTAGTTTCATAAAAATCACATCCCCAAAATCTGAACCATGCTAAGAACAACTCATCTCATTTTGTTCGACGCAGATTTTCCCAACTAGTCTCAAGGAGAATCTGACACATACAATCTAACCTCAACGATTAGGAAATTTGAAGCTTTACAATGGGTGTGTATCAAACATTAAGACACCAGTACAAAATAAAGCACGAAAACGATTTAAGAACATTTTTCTCAGTTGTCATCTCAAACCAAACATCTATGGATAACAAAGAGAACATCTAATTTACTTTTTGATGCCTGGAATGAGAACTGACATTCAAAACTTTAAACGGGAAACGTATTATGCGGACTCGGGGAGATCAGCGGGTGTGCGGATTTATACTCAAATAACTTCAAAGAAATTTGGGATAACCTCTACAGAAAAATAAAGGGACATATAGATAGATAGATCGCGAAAGGGATTAAATTATTCTCACAGGTCTATCATCCTCGGTGAATGTATCGTTTATTCGTCTGTGTTTCATTGTGGCATAACGCTGCATTAATGTATGTTTATAATTTAGCGCTGTTAGTAAGCCTAGTGTTTGTGTTAATACTTGCTCCAATTTGATGCAAAAAGTATTTTACGACCAATAATTTCCCCACTCATATTCTATTCATTCTGGAGTTTTTCAAGGACGCATTGTTATAGTTAACTATAGAACACACTGGCTCATCCATCCATGACCAGCATAGAGAGGGAATGGGTGATAGTTTTTTTATTCGAGCTGTTCTGTTATAGCGGAATCAATAAATCAATGTTTTTCGCCTGTCTCTGGTTACAAACACGTTTGAGTTGCAGAAAAGAATACAAAAGGCATGAATAATGCACCGCTTTTTAAGTATTTTTCTAATCATTAGAAATCAGGCCATTTAAGAACTTGTTGGTAAAGTGATTAAAATTTTCAAACTTCTCCCAAAAACCAGCTTCATTTGCTTGATAACTACTTTTATTGAATGATACTCTAGTGGTATAATGGAACTAAGGCATTCAAAACAGTAAGGTGTTTTAAAAAGGTGATAAAAACATTCACTCATTTTGCTACCTATTTTATGAATAGAACTCCAAGATAGAATGATTGAGAAAACAGAATTTATCAATCGATCAGTAGTTGTCCCACACAACGGTTACCTTCCTAGTGTAGTTATGTGATTCGGCTATTCATATTGGGACACATCTACAAAGCGTACAATTTTTGTTGTCCCGACAGGAATCGAACCACATACGTCAGGCTGAGTGGAAAACCCTAGCCTTAACCAAACGGGAGCGTGATGTGGGGAACTGAATGCGCTTACTGAAATTCCTTACGAATTAAAAGTGCTAGGGTATTTGGAATGTGTTTGTATGCTTATGCATGTGAATTTCTGTGACGGTAAGATAAAATGTATTTATTAATTAATTATTTTATTTGTTTAGTTATTTTCCATGTTCATTTACGCATTGACTATTCAGTGTGATGAACATAACCGATCCGCAGTGAAAACGAAAATTCACAGAGAAACACAGTAAAAACACGTTTTGCGTGCTTCCGTCGTTATTCGGAATCTGCATTACCATCCCTTACTGGATTCTAGCTGAACAATTGTACTTTTCTAGATAAGACCCTCAAGCTGATCAATTTATCAGGCCACACAGAATTACACTTGGGATCCGTTGATGTTAGTGTCCTAGTCATTTACAATCTAAATTGTAGTACCGACAATTTGGGCACCACATCTTCGTGCAGCAAAGATCATCTAACAGTACATTTTATTTAACGAAAGATGCTCTGTGTTAAAACGCATATGATTCCGTGGCGTAATATACATTGTTTTCAAAATCATCCTATTGCACAGTGCTTCTCCGTTTGTTCATTTGAGTTATTGATTTTTTCTGCTTCTCGTTTTTTTTATTACACAGCAATGTGTCATGGCCCGCAGACGGGGGAGGGACCCCATATTCACGAAGACCTGCTTTCGGTAATGGTAACCGGTAACCGAAGCCCCGGGACTTGGAGTGGTGAACCACATAAGGCCCCACTAGGTTAAGGGTGCTAGTAAACCAACCGAGAGCAAAGTTGATTGCCACCAAGACTTTGGAACTTTAGTAAAGGTATTTTTGAAATGCATTCAAAGGATTTCTATCGAATGATTTCAGCAATCGCTAATATAAAGCTCTCCGTTTAATGCATCTTTCAAATGTTTTACTACTAATGTTTGGAGAACTAGCTCCTGATTTTCAGAACTGTCCATAGACAGTTCTGAGTTGCATTAAGTTCTTTCCACAGTGACCAAAGCTTAGATACGAATAAACTTCAAACCTACGAGTTAATAAAATTGTCGATCCTTTGTCTGCTATTAGCTTGCTGATCAAGTCAGATTCACCGGGACCAAGCTATTTACGCCCGTGGGAGATTGAGTTTGGTCTGATTAGGAATCAAACACATTGTACGTCGCTCTGGTTTTATCCGGCCCATAGTGATCACTTTATACGTTACCGTAAACCACGTTGTTTCAGTTTACTAGCACCATTTTCCCACCAGTATTAATTTTCAAATTCATGAAAATACTCAATGGGTTAACTTAGGTGCTTCAGATTTACCGATAACAATCTTTCGGGTAGAGGGACAAAAGCATACACGGAAGACTAACAAATCACTGAGTACGCACAGAATTAACTAAGTTATCACATCTCCATTGCCTCATACCTAGACATGCACTAGACAGTTAACTTGATAGTATATGCTCATCAGTTGATAAAAAGGTAGTATGCTACCCTCAACTACTATCGGAGAACAAACGGGTTATTCAAACTCATGGAGTTCCTCAACTGGACGATCCAGGCGAATCCCTTTGTCAACAAAACGATTGCAAGGAATGGAGTTTCATTCGAGAACTAATTAATTGTACCCAGATTCTTCCTACGGCAATTAGTCGTCTACCCAGCTCACCTAACTACCACGGGAACGGCCCGAGGATAATGAAAGTGACCCTTGGAACGCTAGAAATGGCCAACTTTGTATTGCAGTCGTGGAAGGATAATAGGAAAAGTGGTCCGCCGGAATCACGCCTAAGACTATTACATAATACTGGATCCCAGCAAAGTCCGAAAACCGCAACCGATACTAACACGCAACCTTCCTCGACTAGGGCGGTTTTTATCACTCCGCGTTCACCAAGCAGCACCGACGAAGCCAATTCTACAAAAAAAAACATTGTTAGCCGACCCCAAATTGGTCGGCAGAAACAACACCACATACCCAAAGAAATTTCTTTGCGGAAGATATCTTTCATGCTGTTATACCAATGCACGAGGTCACCTTAGCAAATTCTCCGAGATGAAACTTCGTTGGAAAACAAATCGATTTGACATCGTTGCCGTTACTGAAACCCGGCTAACCACCGACATTCTCGACTCGGAATTACTTCTATCTGGAATGTCGCTGCTGCTGCTCGTCCTACACGAGACGGTGGAGTGCTGCTTTATCATCGAAACAATTCACAATATGAACAGCTTGATATTCCCGACGCAGCCCCAGATTCGTTATGGTGTTCAGTAAGACTCTCCAAAAATGAAAGATGTCCAATCGGTGTTATGTACCGACCTCCCGCATCTTCAGACTCAGCCAACGAGATTTTGTTGCAAACCATGAGGAGTGCGTTAGCACTAAAGTTCATCCATGCCCTCATAATGGGCGACTTCAACTGCCCCAATCTCATAAGAACGAGGACTTTCCGCCAGCCATTCGCGAAACAATTCTCTCAGTTGATTGGATTGCACCCACTGTACAACCACGTAACAGAACCCACCAGATTTGGAGCAGGTCACGAACCATCAACACTAGATTTAGTGCTGACTAACGAAGAGCTGATGGTGGAAACTGTCAATGTCACGCCTCCATTAAGACGTAGTGTTCATGCCGTATTGATGTTTGATTATACAGGCTACGCATCTACCCAAGGAAACCGAAAGAGCAGTACTCGTGCGGTCCAAATGTGCGTTTGGATTAAGTGAGTTCGAGTTTCTAGGATTCACAGTTGATTCCCGTGGATACCGTCCAGATTCGACACGTTTCGAACCATTGACTAACATCGAATCTCCAAACGATCAAACGCATTTGAGACCCGTGTTGGGATGCCNTATCCCGAACGTTGCTACAAGGGCTCAGCCGCTTTTCCTCGCTCAGTGTTCGGCCGCTTGGGAATGGTCGGTGGAGTGCGAAGATATCCTACGTGGTTTAATTCGCTGCGTTACTGATCGTCCTGTTCTGGCCCCGTTTTCATCTCCAAAATCTACTACACTCATCACCGATGCATCCGACGTCGGAATCGGTGCTCTATTAGAACAAGAAGGTTGCCCAGTGATCTGCATTTCACGTCTACTCAATGCGGCGGAAAAGGGATACTCACAGACTGAAAAAGAAGCGTTGGCTCTATTTCGGGCTGTTCGACGATTGCACAAGTACCTTTTCGGATTGTAGTTTACCATCATCACCGATCACCAAGCGCTAAAGTTCTTGTTCAACCCCAACAAATCCATCACGAAGTCCACTGCTGCTATGCTACAGAGGTGGAGCATCGCTCTAGCCGCATACAACAATGATATCCAACATCATCCAGGAAAGACAATCCCGCAGGCTGATTTCCTTCCTCGCTAATCACGGTTTTCTGAGGCCGAACAGTGTTATTTCATCTCCCCAGCATCATCAGTGTCTTTGGAATCTTTACGCAAATCTACCAAACAGTACTACTCGGCCATACTCTCAGCGATCAACAAAAAGGTGATCACCAGAGGTAAAGAGAAAGTATCCTCAATTCTTTGCTCACCGAGAGGAGTTGTCAATACAATTGGATGGTGTATTGTGTCGCAACGATGGTCTAGTAATCCCACCGCCACTACGGCAGACGGTACTAGAAGATTTGCATAAAGGACGTATGGAGGTGGAGAAGATGAAATCATTGGCTTGACAGATGTGTTGGTAGCCGGAGTTGGACGTAGTCATTTACGCATCAGCCAAGAACTGTGAGTCATGTTTACATAAACTACGAACAAGGCCGAAAAACTGGACACCATGGCCGGAAAGTTACATATCATGGCAAAGGGTTCATTTGGACTTCCATGGTCCATTTCTGAACCGGTAATATGCCCTTGTTCTGATCGATTCATACTCTAAATGGCCAGAGGTATTCTTTACAACTACGCCTACCAAATCATTTGTGATACAAGTTGTACGGAAATGTTTTAGTCGCGAAGGGATTCCACAAGTGCTTGTGACGGACAATGGATCTCAGTTCTGTGCGACCAAAATGAAGCTTTGTATGGACATCATCGGTTCCCGACATCTTAGAACTGCTCCTGGTCACTCCTGTTCGAACAGAGCTGCAGAGAATTTAGTCAAAACAGTCAAGAGTGCAATTGAGTCTGCCAATCCTAAAACGCTACATGCGTTGGAAACGTTGGTGGATAACTTCCTACTTCAATACCGAAACGCAACACACAACCACAAGGAGAGCCCGGCAATGCTTTTTAAATCCAGACGTTTGCGATCCTCCCTGCAGTGTCTCGACTCCAGTGACGTCGTATACTTTCGTGGTAATGATTTGCTACCCGCGTCTGATATAGTCACACGACAACTGGGTCAAGCCATGGTGGAAATTACTGACTTGGATGATGCTACTGTACACAACGATGAAATCGACATCCCGCAAACCCATTGCTTCATTTTAATTGCTTGATCGGGAAGCAATATGACTGAAGGCTGTTTTAAATTCGCTCAGATTGAATTTGACAACTTTGCCACATTTGTCTAGCATCTGTTAGAGTATGAACATCCCTCAAGCTCTATTTGCTATGCACATGCAGTGGAAGAATAACCTACGAGGAACATATAATTTCATTATTGCAAATTTTCCGAATGGCGCTTTTGGTAGAAATCAACGATTCGGTTGTTCTAGTGTTCTAGCAAACGGTCCAACCCCCCTCAACCGTTTGCTAACCTTGCGTTGCAAAACTGCAGTGAAACGAACAAAGGTGAAGTTTTATCGGGAATGTATTCATTTAGATTTATCGATCAATAAAAATAGTGGGAAACAGGAGGTATCCACGTAACACAATGTTTTCAACGTTCAATTTAATTGCATCCAACACTCAAAAATAGCGTCATTCAATATGTACGTATTTATCGCTCGAAGAAATATAGATAAAAATATATCCTTATGGGTATTTTTGTGCAGGAAATCGTCACTGATTTTTTTTACATGAGCCTACTGATTATGAATACTCCTCAAACACCCTATAAAATGTCTTAATTCTTCAGTTCGCTCACTTTTTCGAGGATAAATGCTTGTGTCGGTTTTCCAATTAAAGCTGCAAACGAACTGAATTTAATAATTCTCATTCACTGGATACAGTTCTTCCATACACACTGAACGGAGGATTATGAACGGATGCTTGCCTTATCCAAAAAAGGTGGTGTAATCAGTCACACCGATCAACCGTTACCAACTACTGAAAGTCATTGCACCTGGTACAAAATGCCACGAGTGTTGGTAAGTGAAAGTTCACTTTATAAATCAATGACAGCAAAGTAGTGAAGAATTTAGGGCGCATGAATGAACATAGCAGATTTTCATAGTTTTTACCGGTCTGGATTCTAGGCACCAGATGTGGGTCTTTCTAATTCATTTTCGTATCTTTTATATTTTAAGTTTACCTCCTTTTACTGAATTTATAGCGATGCAATACGCACAGAGAACGCAGAAAGTCAGGCGGTGGTGGTTGTGGTGGTGGTGGAAACAGGGATTTTTCATTTTAGCTGGCAGTCTAACAGTCATGTATGTGAATCGTTTAGTTAACCTTTTTGTGACCAGTTGATTGCTTTGGCAAATTAATGAAATTTTCTCATTGGTCTGCTCACAAGCCGAAGTCCTTATTTGTTTGACGAAATCGGTGTGAGCTGGTCAACCGGGATTCAGTATTCAACAGAAATGAATAATTCTCCGTTCTCCAATGAAGCATTTTTTCTCGTACATTCCAAACCACGTCATCAATGGTTAGCTAAGCTAATTATAGGTTCCCATTCTTTTAGTTTGTAACACACGACGTCTGTTGCGAAACGGGTTGTGGAACGTAACAAATTTTATTTGTCTTGTATTTTCAAGGGAATTGACTTATAGAAGGAGAGAGAAAGTAATCTCTATCCCCGAACTCTCGCCGGCTACCACTCGCAAAGTAAGTTCAAAACAAAATAATGAAATCCCAGCGGCAGGAATATGAATGATCACCGTACTCTAAGTGTGAAATTGATCAAGCTTCGTTTGCGTGTATTGGAACTTTAGTAAAGGTTGGCGAAGGTTTGTCGATTGTGCCAGTGGTGGAAATCGCTTTTTTATTGGATGAACGGAATTTTACAGATCCAAACATAGCTTACTCGCAAAGAGCACTATAAATAGCCGAATGGTGATTTTGATCACTTGAACTTAGTAAGCAATTTTTTCAGGTAAGTTTCTAAATCACCACTGGTCGTGACTTCTATAAATTGACGCATTTTTATAGATTGAGGAATATTGCACCCACAAGCACCAACAACGAATGGATCCCAGTTACACTGACCGATTTCTATACTTTCACCGATCCAATCTGAAACCGATCGATACATATGCTACCGAGTCTGTGGGTAGGCATCATTTTCGCCGCTTAAGGCCAAGTGCTACGAAATTACTTATGACGGAATATTTTGTTAAACTTGTTGCCCATTGTGAGCATCTTGTTTCACAATGAAACGTCTGTGAACATCAGTAGTTGGTGGTATATTTTTCGATTACATGCATTTTTTTATTCATTCCTTATTCTTCGACTTATCTTTGGGGTGACTTTCGGTTATATATTTTTTATGTTTAATGGGTTCCAACGAAGAAAATAATTCACGCTATAGTCACTACACAAACGTTCACGCGCAATCCGTTTGGGTCAAATGATGGCTCGACGATTCCATAGAGTTCAAACGATTGGCGTAATTTGATTGCATTTCTATGCCACAAACTTACTTCCACAAAAGCCCATTTTATTTTCAAAATACTCCTCATCACCAGTACAGAAGTCCCTTTTTAGCTCAATATTCAGGTTTCAGAGAGAGCTAGTTGGGGATCTCCATGTTACAGTTTAACTGTAAGGCAACTGAGGAGCCATTGTTTTACATCAATTGAAGTCGTCGAAATCCCTTATGATTTGAATAAAATAAATGCTGATTGATTAATGTATTCCGAACTAATAACATTGTAAATATTACTTAATCCGTTTGGTTTGATAGAAACGGCACTTTTGTGGCCTTTTTCCTAGGCGTTGGCATCGGCGTATTCCGGTCACACATTTTCAGTGCTGTTGCGATTGAGATTATCCATCTACATGCGTTGCGATTATTACAGATAGACACTTACCGACTTGATGAATGTTAAGAAAATTCAAGTGTCAGCAAAAATCTCAATTTATTGAAGGGAATGTTCAACAGACTGCCAAATCCATACCAAAATTATTTTACACTTCATTTATATCGCTTTATCGAAAATCAATGCAGAATGCTGAACGTAAATACTTGCACACGTCAGTGGTATTCATTTCGCTTTCAGGTTACGAGCGGTGACTCCTGTATTAGAGGTAATCATTGCTAGTGCAAAAAGGTATTAGTCGGAAGGACCACACCGTGGCAAAGTGCTCTTTTTGTTGCGTATTTTTTACAACTCTGAGTCATAAAATCCATGAGATACTAAGCGAAGAATTAGATTTCCTGATACCCAACCATACCGTATCCGACAAAGAAAAATGTCATACTGAGGACGGCGGTGTGACTTTCGGGCAGTTCTCAAATTATTTCTTTGGAATAAAGTTTTTTTGGATAATTTCCGCCCCATTCTTAGGAAATGGTAGAAACGGTAGAAACCCTAACCCACACTGTGCCTATCCTGTACTTCCATATAAACTGTACTATTGTATTCCAGCTCGGGAGTTATTGTTTTTTGGGGATGGTTCAATAATTTTGTGATAAATTTCGCGCTCGATGAGATCTAATCCGGAATAGACGGTATTGATCTCTTACGTGCTGTGTACAACCCATCGGGG